ATACATATTGGCTAGTTTGCCATACAATGTTTCTGGAAAAACAGCGTTTTACTGGTGAGTGACATATTTTCATTTCCTAAAGGAGAACAGGTTTTGAGCATATATATATTTATTAATTCTGCAACGATCAAAACTTAACTCTGGAAAATGTGTTTAATTTCCATGAAAATGTCATTGCTTTGGCTCTGACTTCCTGGCAAATATTTTTTCCACAGCTTTAGTAACAATAACATGACAGTTTTACGTTGGAAGTAACTGGCACATGCTATAATTTTGTGCTTTCCCAGAGAAAAAGAGGAAAGAGCTTTAAAAAGGAAACACTGAGATGTTTATTGCTTGTGTTTACTGAATAGTGAAACTGAACCTCCCAGGTACGTTATTTTCTCCCCAGCCAAGCACCACGAAGTGAGAGGACGGAGCTGCTTGCCATGCAGAAGGAGCTCTGCACGGCTTACTGGCAGCGCAATGACCCAGTGAAGCAGGGACAACTTTTTAAGGAACAGTCTAGGCTAACAGTCTTCCAAATTACAACAGGGGCATTATAAAACATTATGGTGAAACTCAGTGAACGCAGTTGTTCTCCTCCAGTGCAAAACTACCACCAGGTAAACTGGTACTGCAGAAGAGATCAATGTTCTCTAAACCGCATGTCTTGCTGGACTAATCTTCTTCACCTAATGTTGGTGAAGGTGCTCCCATATATTTGCTTGCTTTAAACAGGATTTGAGAAAATAATTTTTTAAACATGGATCCCAGCTTGGCCCACAGGGACTGACAGAACTTCAGCCTCACAAGGAATATGGAAAGAAGTAACTAGTTCCCACAAGACTTCTATGTTAGCAAGAGCCGTTTAACTTATTTTTCTACTGCCAAACTACATATATATATAACACTTGAAGACCCTTGGAATCTTATAGGGCTTAAATAATCTCACTGGTGATAGGTATCTGGCTAGGAGGAGGACGATAAATCAAGTTATGAAGATCCTTTTTTTTCTTCACTGAAGAGATTTTATTAGAAAAAGCATTCCCAAAAGCTTTCCTCCACTGAGATTTGAGAGCATTTGAGCCTTGTATTTGTCATTTGTCCAAATTAAGAACACTAATATATCTAAGCCCAGCTAAAGGTGGATTTCTTCTGCTGCTTCTTTTATTTTGCCTTCATTTTATTAAGTATATTGTCAGCTTTTTCACAAAGCAGGAAAAGTTATTTCCTTTAGAGCTATGTCCCCTCGTTCCAGAAATATAAAGAAAAATACCCTTGTATATCTGTTTAGCTAGCCAGGTGATGCAGGCAGTAAAAAAAAATCATGAGGAACATTTTATGGACTGAGGACACATCCTGATAAATGCTACTTGTAGACATAGACAAGATGGGAATGAGAGAAGTATAAATGGAATATTGTGTTTTTCAGAACGTTTTGAAGGTAACGATAATTAAGGCTGGATAGTTTTCTTAAAGAGCCACCAGTGAAGATCTCACTACCGTTTGGCTTCCTGAACATTTTGTACAAAGTAAGAGAGATGCCCATCTCTCTTACTGTTGTATTTAGCTAACACTTTGGTAACAGGGCTGAAAACAAAGTACACTGCTGGAGTACACTACTTCTTGAGCACTTTAGTTATTCCACAGTAAAGGCAGCTTTAAAGGAAATACCAAATGTTCTCCTGGAATTACAGGAGAACATTTCTAGAGCTAAAAATCCCCTCCATTTATGTGGCCTTTTACCAATGGGAGAGTAACTAGCACTGCATGGTAAAAAGACAATCTGTGCTACGCGATTCATCCAGGGGCACAGCCCATGTCACTGATTATAAATAGGTGAATGTCAGAAGCTAATTACAGATACTGAGGTCTTTCTCCCTTTTCTCTGTGGGGGTGATGATGTTGAGGGAGGTGGCCAAGAGGAAAGCAGATCGTCAGATACAGGGCTGCAAGTGTTATGGCTCCCCTAGTTTGTGAATAACTTTTAGACCCAACCATGACAGGGTGTGTAATGCAGCTTCAGCAAAGAGGATGACTGAACGAACCCTGAAAGGGCTCTGTACCCCTTCCCACCAGGGGGGAGACTGACTGACTTGCTATGTTCCTTGGACTCCAACAAAACAAAAGAAGTGTATTGAGTTTGCCTGACAAGGTTTTGGTAGCGGCGGGGCTGCAGCTGTGAGAAGCTGCTAGCAGCTTCCCCCATGTCCAATAGAGCCAATGCCAGCCGGCTCCAAGATGGACCCACCGCTGGCCAAGGCCGAGCCTATCACCAATGGTGGTAGCGCCTATGGGATAATGTATTTAAGAAAAAACTGCTGTGCAATAACAGCAGCAGAGAGAGGAGTGAGAATATGTGAGAGTAACAACCCTGCAGACACCAAGGCCAGTGAAGAAGGAGGGGGAGGAGGTGCTCCAGGTGCTAGAGTAGAGATTCCCCTGCAGCCCGTGGTGAAGACCATGGTGAGGCAGGCTGTGGCCCTGCAGCCCATGGAGGTTAACAGTGGAGCAGGTATCCACCTGCAGCCTGTGGAGGACCCCACACCAGAGCAGAGGGATGCCCGAAGGAGGCTGTGACCCTGTGGGAAGCCCGTGCTGGAGCAGGCTCCTGGCAGGACCTGTGGTCCCGGGGAGAGAGGAGCCCACGCTGGAGCAGGTTTGCTGGCAGGACCTGGGGAGGTGTGTGGAGGACTGTCTCCCGTGGGAGGGACCCCACGCTGGAGCAGGGGAAGAGCGTGAGGAGTCCTCCCCCTGAGGAGGAAGGAGCGGCAGAGACAAGAGTGATGAACTGACCGCAACCCCCATTCCCCATTCCCTGTCCCCTTGCGCTACTGGGGTGTGGAGGCAGAGAAATCAGGAATGAAGCTAAGCGCGGGAAGAGGGGAGAAGGTGTTTTAAGATCTGGTTTTATTTCTCATTACCCTACTCTGATTTGATTGGTAATAAATTCATCTTCCACAAGTCAAGTCTGTTTTGCCTGTGACAGTAATTGGTGAGTGATCTCTCCCTGACCTTATCTCGACCCGGGAGCCTTTCGTTTTATTTCCCGCCCCCTGTCCAACTGAGGAGGGGAGTGATAGAGCGGCTTTGGTGGGCACCTGGCATCCAGCCAGGGTCAACCCCCCACAGGAGCATTAAGCTCTAGTTAGGAAGGAGCAATTAGCAGTTCCTGGAGATAGTTATGATTTTGCATTTATAATAGCAATTGCATTTTTCCACTTTTTAGAAGCAATATATTATCCTGCCTCACTAGTATTCTGCTATTTACAAAGCAGGATGATATACAAAAATGATTTTTATATGATATACTCCTCCACTGCAGCTTTCTTCCAGCCTGTGAGACGTTTTGTTTGTTACGAAGCGTATAGAGGGTGCCAGTACGGCTGTGTATCCTGCTGCTTTGAGCAAGTGTGCTCACCCGTCCGCTTTCTTGCGGGAGAAAGACGAGTTGTGAAAATGACAACAGCGCACTCCATGTAAGTACAGGATGAGAAACATTTTATTTATAACCCTGTCATATTGGGGCTACCTGAACCAAAAATAAGCTTGAAAGTAATCCCCTGAGTTGTTTCTCTGGGTTCTCCAGTTTCTTGAACTGCAGTGTATAAAACAGAGGTTTGTACTTTGCTTGTAGACAGTCATAGCATCATGGAGAAATCGTGAAGGTCAGCTGCACTGTGGACAACTCCACATCCATCTGTGTCTTTTAAATTATACTCGTGTCTCTTTCCTTATTGCCAGTTTTGGTCTGTCTCCATTTTTCTCATACAGGTCTGGACCGGTAGCCAAAGGGCCAGGGCTGACAGAAACGCCAAAGTATGACACAGGCACTTAGTGCAAGGACCATGGTACTGACAGCTTTGCAGACAACTTTAAAAACTTCTGATGTCTCAGAGGGACCAAACAACCAGGGATCCGATTTCCAAACAGACAGTTCTTCCACACGACCCTTGAAATACATTATATTTCTGTGTATGTTAGGAAGTCCTTGCTCCTGAAAAAACATGGTAAATAAATCTCATTGCCAATAATCAAATTCTCAGTCTGTCTTCTCAAGCTGAAGCCGAACATACACATTAACCCCAGCGACCAATTCTTGCTGCTTTACCACAAGCCTGACATTGAATTTCACGTACCTGCACTGCTGGAAAAACATCATTATGTGAGGTCATCATCTTTTCCTTCCCAGAAAGTTTCTAGTCCTGACAGTTTCTTTCTTCAGTGCAAACAAGGCTCTAAAACAAAAGTAAACCTAACAGCTGGCCTTTTTGCCATACCTATACCCTTTACTATTAAAAATGGTTTCTACAGTCTGAATGTACCATTCTCATAATACAGGCTCATAATACAACTCATAATACAGGCTGATAACTGAACATCAGTATGTGCTTTACGCAGGAAAAAGCGAACTAAAAAGCTCATAACATGATAGGTAACTACAGAAAAACGCATTAGTTGGTGCTTAAGAAAGTGTTTAAATGTAAGAAGCCAAGGCTTGAAATTTTTTGGTTGGTGCTGCTTGACAGATGGGCACAACTGAGTCTGATTATTAACACACAGGGTTATGCTTGCTATCTGCCATGTTGCACTACAGAAGAAACCCAGGTGAGAAATGTGGTCATGAGTTGAGCTTTTGAGTTTGGGTAAACCTGTATGAATCTGATTCCCAGAAGATATAGATTAGTTAATGCAAAAACTGTGGGCAGTGCTGAGCAGCTACAACACCGTCATTAATTAGCGGAGCAGTACGGCAAACGTTGGAAGGGGCAGAGAGTACTGCTGTTCTGTGTGCTGTTAATCTATTTAGAATGCACCAATATTGAAGTCTTTATCTTCGGTCATTTGCCATGGATGTGTGTCTTCGCAATCCATATTCTTACATGCCTTTGGGCTAGATCCCCTTTGCATCACTAACATACATTCTTATTTTACCTCCTTATCTACACAAAGGCATCCAGAATGAAAACAGTGAGTTTGTCTACACTTAAAATAGCACTGCAATAAAGAAAGTGGTAAGTGGGAAATCCAAGCAAAGAAAGACAAAAGGCTCCCCATCCAAACCTAAAATCTTGGAAGACTCAGTTTTTGGGTGTGTAGAAGTATTATCCAGCATTAAACTGTTTATTATGAGCCATTATTTTCCTATGTCAAAAGTATTTTCCATAAGTGATGGCTCTGCTATTTTTCATTGGCTTCACTTCAAATCCTGTATCTGTTATTCCGGAAGACCTCAATGTAGGCCCTGAGAGGTTACGTCCTGTAACAATCCCAAAGCTGCAACATACAACTGAGAACACCAAACAATTCATGCGTAGACTGGCTACACCAGCATCATCCAATATTCAATAAGATGAGGCGGCAACTTTAATCATTGGCTATCTGTTGTCTTCTATGACAATGGTTCTTCTAGGATAGGTGTCAACATCCACAAATATGTAGCGGACCTCAAATCTTCCTCTCTCAGGATTCTGTAAGGAAAATAATTTCAGGCTCTGTTTTTCTCTCTGCGGTAGTTTAAATTCAAGATTAAGATTGTCAGCTATATCAAGCAATTGTACATACCTCTTTGACTTCCACATGGACTGTCCCCTTCTTCCCTGGTTCAGAGCCCTCAATATAGAACTTCAAACGCATATGTTTCAGTCCATCCTTTACGTATTCAATGTGACTAAAAACAGCAAAAGAAAACAAAACAAAAAACCCAACCCACCCAGCAAGGACACAAATTTAAACTTCTTATTTAGAGGAGCTGCTTAACTATTTTGTGAGAAAGTGTATTCTGATGCAGTCCTTCCGCCACTATGGGTTCCTTCTCTACTACTCTTCCCAAGCTTTATTGCAAGCATATAAGGAGTAGTGGAGTTAGAAGAACGAACTAATTAGCAGTTGAGGATTAACAGATGAAGTGCTTAAATGTCCTCACCCCAGTCCTCCCCTCAAAACTCAACAGCAATCCAATGGCTGAAAATTCTGGAATTTCCTTGTATTTATTCTAAAGAACCCCCAGATTCAGAGCCTGACATCTAGAAAGGAACACCCACACCACCAAGACAGCCAGGGTTTTTTTAGGCACTTAAACTAAGCTACGAAGCCAAAACACACAAAGAATGTTTTGTCAACTTATCAGGTTGGTTAAATCACATCAAAACAAACAGTTTACCATATAGCTTTACTTATTTTGCAATAATTTTGTGCTACTGAAGTTGTGTAACTTTGGCACTGATATAAGATCTCCAACCTAAATGCTGATATTTAGACTGGAGTTAGGTTATGCTCAAATATTAGATAAATAGAAAGGTCATGTCACTCTCAAGGCAACCACTTCCAGAAACCAATGGTCAAACTAGAGTTCTGGTGCCAGTTTATGTTTCCGACTGAAATTACTAACTGCTGCATGCTACCAAGCTCTTATTTCCATCAGTCATGCCCAGATACACACTGTGAATTAAACTTCCAATACAGTTTAAGGTGACCTGATGGGTTACAGATAATAAAGACAAATGAACCACAGTAACTTCACATTCAAGGTGTTCATACACAAAAAAAATCTGTACATTTTTGAGACATTTACGGTCATCCTTATATTGCAGACACAAATGCTACCATCGTGCAAAGTCCTCAGCTCAAAAAATGTATTTAAAATACTAGACTTTCAAAATGATGGAAATTGAATACTAGGAAAGCTATAGTACATTTACTTATTTACATAGTTTGTTTTACAGACAGATGCTTGAAACGTTTGTGCATATGCTTTTGGTTTAGCAGCTCCACTTTAAACACTTCTTCACAGTCTGGTGAGAAGATAAACTTCCACCAGTAAAAACCACCTTCCTCTGGAAAAAAAATTCTCAATTTCATGGTTCAAGTTGTATATCTGGGCTTATGTGTCCCATCCTATGTGAAATCTCCTTGAATAAATTCAAGTCAAAGAACCCAATAAAGACAAAGCCCCTATTGGGTTATAGTGCAGGGAGGATTTACATTTTGTAAGAATTAGTTCTGTTGTTTCCCTTAAAAGGAGATTAATAAATAGACACACTCATGAAAGGTTTAGGTGAGAGATGTTCTGTTAAATACACAGTAGAGATGTGGCCTCAAGTACCAAAAAGCAATGTAAGAAATGGGCAGTCAATACTGTGTATCAGCTCGGGACAATAGTCACTGCAGTGACGACAACATGTACAGTCAGACCCGGCCTAGCTTTAAACAGAGCAAGCTGGATTCTTGAAAGTCTGAAAGTTAGCACCTCCTGCTCTTTCTGGCCAGATAAGAACTACTGCTTCAAAAGGAGAAAAAAACTCTCAAAGAACAATTTTACTCTTATTTGGGGGTTTTCAGACTGTAAACTTCAGTCACATCACTGCTCCCCAGATGCATGCTTAGGCCTCTGTACCACTCTCTTCAGACTCGTCCTATTTTTTGGAGACACCAGCTCTATGTTTACCGTGCTGACCATTGCTTATTTTGAGGCACTCAGAATTGCCATTTTATATTGTATGTGCACTGTACTTAGTGGTATGTGCCACACAAGAGGTATTGCAAAAAACTGCTTTGATTTTCACTCAAAAGTGACAGGGTACGTCACACAGTTCATTAATCTAGATCGAACTTGCTATGATGTGACCCAAAATGTCCTTGCTGTGTGAAAACTAATATCTATATGGGGCAAACACCAAAGGGCACCTGACAAACTGTCGTCTTCCTCTTCTTGTTGCCTCCCCATAACCTTTAATAGATTCACCAAAAACACCAATTATCTACAAGAGAAAAGAGGTTTGAGTTGTCAGAAGGTATCACATTCAAACAGTATCAGCTCACACCCCTGTGAATGCTGTGAATGCATCTTCTTTCAACAAAATGTCCCTTGTGAGCCTGATCTCTCAAGATTAGAAGAGTTTATGAAAGAAAACAGTGTAAGGAAAATTCCTCTGTATTTCAGTGCTTTTCTTTTACAGTCACATATTAAAATCCTACTAATATGTTCCATTTGTACTGTCCTCTGAGATTACGACATTTTAATCTCTCGTCTTACTGTATATTTTCTACTTTACTGACATTTTGTGTAAAAAGGAAAAAAAACATGAAATATTTAGTCATATCTCCTCCAAAAGAATATGTTTCAAAGTTTAAAATGCAAATGTGTTCCCCTTTACATCATCTAAAAAACACTACTGTTTAAGAAATTCAATGCCTTTTTTTTTTTTTTTTTTTCAGATCTATAAAGCCAGACCAAATTAACCTAGTTTTAAACTTACTTTGAAGTTGGTTAGAAAGGAAGGGTGATTTTTACTGTACAAGCACTGGAGAGAAGTTTTAATTCTACAAACTTTTCCAAAGCAGTCTTCATTTTTATTCTAGTGACAACTTGTCACTTCATTTCTAGGTTATCCTCAGAGTCATCTGTGGCAATCTTGTTTGAAAGCTATTCCATGCATTTCTTGTTTTGCCTGAAGCAGTGGTTTTTAAAATCTAGTTTTAGACTGATTTTTGTTTACATCTAGCTACCTTATGTGACTGTGTGATCACATGACTGTTCTCTTTCTCTCTTCCTGTTAGCCACAGGAAGGCTAACCACGTTTCAAACGAAGAATTTAAATTCCTGGATACTTATAGAATCATAGAATTGTCAAGGTTGGAAAAGACCCTTAAGATCATCGAGTCCAACCGTTAACCTAGCACTGCCAAGTCCATCTATACCATGTCTTCAAGCACTGTATCTA